AAAAATCGAAATTTCGTAAAATCTCTACGTACAGCATTAAAAAATATTGTTGTTAATAGGAACATTCTTTGGTTTTTTTTCTAGGAGCCACGTACAGAGCGGAATTTGACATGCCGTCTAACGGTGTTTCTCCAAAGGAATGTATTTTGGCGCCACCTACAAGAGATTATTTGTAACTTTTTCAGTTTGTAATTACAGATTAAAGTTACATTAATGAATGACTAAAACCGATTTTGTTTCTGGGCACTCTTTGTATGCAAAAAAAATTCATGAAAAACGCCTCCGAAATCGCAGTCAAAGGTGGTATCCTGCCTTAACCAATGTTTGGTCCATGCTCTCTCACCTAAGACGCGAACACTTTAATAACAACGGTAATTGTACCTTCTAGACACCGAAGAGAAAAGTTCGCTACCGTGGCTGATCATGATTTGCTAAAACTATTTTGCTGCCACAACTGTAAATTTCTAAACCGCAGCGAACGGTTTGCTGTCGCGACTAAATATTAGCTGTCCATATCTCACAGCTGAAATTTAGTTACCACGCGCAGTTTTTAGCTACGATAGCTACATTTTTTCCCCGTGTAGTTAATTCAAATTAATTAGTACTTTTGCTGTCGATGATTCATAAGATGAAAAGTTTATAAATTTAACTGCGCAGCATATCACTTTTACGTAACGCGAGTGCTTTCAGATGTTTCGCAGGATCTCAAATCCAAATTTCCGGCAGTCTGTCGCCTTGAACGTCTAATCTTTAAATTAGTTACGAAACCGTTTTTCTGGTCGGCAAACCGGTAAATCTCGTTATTAATTCGTACGGGAACAACGTCACGTCCCACGTGACGCCGGCCGTACCGAAGCACCGCGCGGACCTTTCTAAGAGGTCGATTAGAAATTAATAGAGACGCCGGCGTCCGATCTCTAGCAAGAAAGGATGACACGTGTAATCCATTATATATTAATTTCGGTATCAAATTTCGATCGTAAGACCTCCCGAAAAACAGGACGATCATTAATAATTACATATTGCACGATTTTAATACGATTAGCGCGCGGTTATTACGAATTCTCTTATTGAAAATTTATTCTTTACCTCATAACTAAATAAAGCTTTTGCAATTATCGAGCTAATTATCAAGCATTAATCATATTAAAACCCAGTAATTATCGCAGTAATCGTATTAAAATCGCGCAATATATACTTATCAACTTACCATTAACATATAATCATTCTGTTTTTCTCCTCCACGGTCATATAATCGATATGTAACGCGGATTACACGTGCCGTTCTCTCGTTAGGCTGCGATTAATGATCGTACACAGTCGAATAAATCTCGATTCTATTGGGGGGTCGTAATCAGTTTAGCGTAGGCACGTGAGTATCATCCCGGTATACATAAGTTCCATCGAAATGCCGCACTGCTTTGACATTTGCCAAAGATCGTTCGCGTATGATGCGGTTGTAACTTTGGGAAGTGCAAGACGGCGCGAGTTAACTGTTTATTAATATTATAGACGCTTGTCTCGCAGGGATATTTACCTTGGGCGGAAAGCATGATGTAATCGCGCCGCAAACGTTTCCGGACACGTAGAAAGTGGATCGTCCGGTCGACGCGCGATATATATTCGCCTACTTCGATTTATAATATTACGTGTACATCCGCTTTTATGTAACAGTGAGTAATTCTTGTGTGTCATTTGCCTTTCGCAAGTTTTTATTTCTCCCTCTCTCTGTATCTCTCTCTCTCTCTCTCATTATTTACTTAGGGGTCTTTTCAACAATCACCTTTAACATTTTACAGGAAATTCGAGTTAAAGACGTCACGTAACGTTGCAGCAAAATGTTGCAGCAATGACTTTTTGATATCATTACGACGTTGTTCTCGCGCGATGTGTATTTTTGCAACAGTCATTTGCGGCTTCTTTTTATTTTATCTTTCCCGAAACGACGGCCCGTTTACATTTCGGCCTTTCGCGATTTGCGATTCGGGAGCCGCGGCTGCGACGCCGCTGGTGGTGCGAGGAATCGTCCGTCACGTCCCGGTGAAAACGTCGCGGCGCGGCGTGGCGTGGCGAAACGTTAAAGGTCAAAGGCGCTTACCTTGCCGAGCTCCTCCTCGTGTGGCGTTTCCACCCCGTGGAGCGGCACGCGTTCCCCGGTGAAGCTGTTTGTGTGTGTCAACGGCCGTTTCACGCCGCTGATGTGCGACATGGCGGCGGGACCTCTTTGCACGCGGTCCTTCTTTTTCGCCGCCCGTGCGTCCACGCTGCCCGTTGCGGCGACCGCATCCTCGATTCGCAAAGACGGCAAATCCAGTTCCTGCTGCTTGTCTGCGGGCAAGAGACGCGAAACGTGGATAAACTTGGCTTAAGTGAGCGGCATTGACACGAGCGGTGAAAGGCAGCGAATTTCTATCGCGATAAATAATATAATACATTGGATCGAAGCGCGTAGGCAGATACTGAATACAAATAGGTTGCATTATTTAAATGTTACATGTACATTATTTAAATATTACATATACAAAGTTATGATGCATTGTCGTGTATGTAATTTAGTGGATCGAAAGAAATTGTATCGCGTCCGTCGCTGCTCCGTGCGATCGTACTTTTCACACTTGAACGCATTACATGACAATGCACTTGCGTTGCGTCTTTGATTATTGACGTCCGCTTATCAGTAATACGGTGTTTGTAATCAGATCGAGCGATAAGTTCGCGTCGCACGTTTTATATCTCGTTTTATAACGCGACAACGTTTCAAGAGTCATCGATTCGGTCCGACGTGACAGCAAGGTTACGCATTTTGAACAGTTTTTGTCTCGCGAGGGCGCGCCCTTTCAATTTCCTCTCACGCCGCCACGCTGCAATTTTCAAAAAGAAGATTTTCCGCCCGTTGTCGACTTTCGATAATCCGATTTCGATCGGAGCGAGGCTCGTTAGGAAACTACGTAACGAAGTCAGCGCGTCATAAACGAATTTTGCTGAGAAGCGCGAAACAAAGTTACTCTATTAAAGGCCCATCCAGGTGGGGACGATTTTCGACGTGCAACGTCGGGACAGGAAATTATAACATTTTTGTATATCCTTTGCGGGACGCCGGCGAATATACAAAGGACTCGAGTGCGATTCCTCGTCGATTGTGAAACCTTGCGCGACCAGGACCGACCGCTCGTCCGGACAAAGCGCGACCAGGACGAATGGTCGCGGCGATACCGGCTACAGTCTCTCAAGGGCTTTTAATGCGTAAGAGCGCTCGTTTTTATCGCGCCCATAAACTTGCTTCCGGCGGTGACCTCGTTAGGCGCAGTCTCGCGAACTTCTTTCCATTCCTTTTCTCGGGTATACGCGAAAACGCAGTCTCCTTCCGGGACGGGGAGCGGGGACCGATGCACGTCATTTCCCCCGCGCGAACTTATAATTTGCGTCGCTTTATTCCCATTGTGATGATTTCGACAAGGAAGAGAGCTCAACTTACCGAGGAAGGTGCTGCAGATGTATTCCGAGATCTGATTCCCAGACTTGGACGATTCCGAGAAATGCGACAGCTCCTTGTTCAGCATTCTCTTGAACTGTAACGAGAAGATAAAAGCGAACCGTTAGGAGAGCGATTGAGGAAAGCAATCGTAGATGCGGCATCTCGCTTGTGTTCTACGAATCGATAAATTGTCGCGGTACAGTAATTATATTCATAAATGAGCTCGCAATAAAATCATTTTCCGCGCGGTTGGAAAAATTTGTGTTTTCTTGTTAAAGAAAAAAATTGCAATTTTTGTGTTAAACGTTTAACACATTCGTGTGTTAATTTAACATATTGCTCTTGTGTTAATTGACCTCAAATGTCAAATTATTGAAATACTTGAAAAGAAATGTTAAAACAACGCAATGTGCACTTATTTTTTAATCTTACACAATGCATACGTTCTATATTATTAGTAACAGGATTTGTCTGTTGAACTTTACGGAATAAAATGTGAAAATTACATTTTTTAAAGTTCACTTTGTCATTAACAATATGTTAATTTTACACAAAATTTATTTTGAGATTTGCATTCATTTTATGTTAAAATATTAACAGAGTGTCAACATTTAACATATCCATATTATGTTAAATTTGTGTGGACCGTTCGGGACATGTCATATCTGTTCAATTTAACACAAATTTTCCAACTGCACGCCCTCAACTCAGACATCTTACACCTTCAAAGAATCTACGCGATTTGGTAGGCGCCGTGCAATTAAATTACCTGAGACGGGGCGGCGTCTATCGCCGTGTCTCTTCTACCAAACCGACTCCAGATATACATTTGCCAAGGCGGTAGGAAAAAAGCCATTTTCCTGGATTTACGATTTTCGTGGAAAAACGGATAACGGAGCTCGCGGGCGCCTAACGGGAGGCGCCGGGAAGCGGAAGAGGAACGAAGCGAGCAACCGCGCCAAAGGAGAAATCCGGATTACAAGTATCTGCGGAGAAAACCGATGAATCCTCTCTTCCACATGCCTCCCCTTATTCGCGCGCGTGATTCCCAACCCTTATCTCATCACGAATATTTACGCCATTCACTGTACGTGTCGAAACGTCGTCGCGGGGGACACGTGCACCGCGGGGCTCACCGCGGGGCAAACAAAGTCATTTGCGCTCTCCGCTCTTATCAGCCGCGCTATCGCCGCGTATCATCTTTGCACGGGCGTGCGGCGAACGTGCGCGTGCTCACCGGATCGGTAGACAAATGCAAATATATGTGTTTGCGCAAATATACGAGTATACTTGTCCGCGCGAGCCAGAGTGATGACCCCGCGGGGCGGATTATTGGATAATTCCGGGGAGTAAACGCGCGGATCGAGCCCTTTGCGGCCCGATACACTTCCGCGCGCGACCCTCGTTCCGTCGCTCTCGAGCGAGAAATTCGCGCGATTGCCGATTTCACAAAATCGCAAATCGCCGTCCCGGACGGTTCCCCGATTCTCACACCTCGCGTTCTATTTTGAACTTTACCGTTGAACTTTACCGTTTGACCCTCTTACAATGAAAATAGATAGACGCCTCGCATTTATCGGAATAACTAATATAATTACCGTGTGCCTGCAGCCTGCTTATTACATATATCGAAGACGGGGAGGAACGAGCGATAAGGACAAGATATGCATAGCGCCTGCATTTTGCCCTACCTTTTACCAAACTGCCCGCGGCAATTACGTCCCTCGTCTAACGTAGTTAAGTTTGACGCGCGATAATTTCCAGCATTTGATACCTTGAACAGTATCCCGAGATAACGTAAATACTAAGGGAAATAATGGAAAAATTGCCAATAGACGGGAACATAGAAGAGGCGTGTCAGACCGACTCCGAGACTCCTCCACGTAATCGCACTCCGATATTCATTCCTTCAATTTTACACGTAGTTTCACACCCGACAACACTCCCCGTGCCAATATTATAATGCTTTTTAGATAAGCCCGCTCGTTATCGAGCTCCTCGCGAATCGATACCAACGTTCTATCGTTTTGCTTATCGGCAGCGTTTCGGCGAAGCACTTGAGAAGACGAGTAGTTATTCGCAATTCGAAGGCGCGAGATGTTGTTTGCTCTCGTGAAATACCGGCGTGGCGTTTGTTACGATGCCTCTCCAAACGTGATCTGCTTCCACGGCGCAAGACACAGGTGCCATAAAGATAAGGGGGATCTCGAGAGGCTTAAGTGGCTCGATAGGAAGAAAACTTGAGCAAAATGTGAATGCTCGCGCGAATCTAGGCGAATAATAAAATCGGCGCGTCTCTACTGCCTCGTCCCCGTTTAAACGCGTCAGCTACGCGCACCGACGCACTTGACTCGGGTGCACAATAGGATCGTCTAAGTGCGACGAATACGGGGCGAAAATTAAGGCACGGTTTAACGGCGACGTGGCGTGCCGCTGTGCGTTATATCGCGAAACTAACAGCTCGCACAATCTCGTTTCGGGTAGTCACGTCGAGATTTCGCGAAGGAGCAAAAGCCGCCATAAATTCACCACTATTTGCAGACTATATATCTCCCTCGGCGATAATTTCTAGCACGTTATACTGTAACGAGACTCTCTCTCTCTCTCTCTCTTGCGCGCGCGCGTTCGTTTTGAAAGTAATGTAACGAAACATCTGTTACGCGGTTCGACCAAGTGCATTAACGAGAAATTAAGAAACAGCTGACGATTGCGCGGATATGTCAAACCTCCGTTTCCAGATTCTAAATCGGGCAAATCTGTAATTAAATCCCGCTTGTTTCACGCCAAAACAAGATTAATGCCATATTTCTACGTATTGACGAAAGCGATAATTTCCTTGTCATGACGTAACGTTAAAAAGTAACAGCCGTAACGTAGATAAATCATTGACGATAACATAATTACGTTCGATCAATCAAATTTGCTGTGTACACCTACTCGACGACGCCACGAGAAAGTGCCTCTGCTTTTCTTAAATCCCACATGATCAAGGTGGATTAACCGGATTAATGCGACGTCGCCGCGTCTATTTGCGAGTCACCTTTTTTTCCATAATTATCGCTGAACTTTCATTGAAATGTCGTAAAAGGTCAAGACTGCGTTGTCGCGCCTTGGCACTCGCGGCGCGCCGCAGTCTTTTTATTAATCGTACGTGGGAATCCAATCATTGTCTCGCGTGATTCATTTCCCACATTCGAAATCTCTTTACACGCTAATTGCATTTCTTACTAGCCCCGGTTTGCCAGCGGTTAGTCATCTGGACATCGGGGACTACAATTGTAATCCCCTGTTAGTCAGCGACACACAGCCCTTTCTCTCCTCCCCTCTCGTACAATCGCGAAACTTTCTCTCTCCTCTGCTCCATGCTCCTGTACACAAGGCCGGACGAAGACGAAACCTTTGCTATATTACTAAATGAGACGGCCATTTACTTCCCGAGGAATATTAATTATTAGTCCATCCAACGCGGACACGTCAAACGATCTTACATAAGAAACGCGTTTCAATACTTCCATCCGGGTGTTTGCGACTGTGAAACGCGAACGGACGTGGCCGTTCAGGATCACGGGGGTAACCACCTGACGTAATCGTGGGACAGTGTCTCCGAAATGATTATGAAATCCTTACGAAATCCCCGTGTAATCGTTTTGTCTTCATTTTCAACTTTCTTCACTTGTTCGACAATGAACATCAAACTTGGACATTTTGTCAGCTTGTTTTAAGTTTCCAAAAAATGTACTTCTTTTGGTGAACATCCAAATACCTATAATACAAAATTACTTCTCGCTAAGACCTAACCACGTGACCGAATACTACAATCTTAACTGAAATCACCTCTACAAGCAGATACTTGTTGGTAAAATAAGAAAGATATATTTTGAGGAAATCCAACAGCTCTTTGAGGTTCAACAACGTTACATATTTTTAAACGTGCATGCGAGGAAACGATTTGCAATTAGACGAGATTGTTTGTAACCAGATAAAATCGTGTAACTGGTGGGACAACATTTCAGCTCGTGGTTAACCCCCTTGGTTCGGATAGTCGCGGAGACACGCGCCTCGAGCACATCGTGTGCCCGCGCGCGACGAGGATAAAGCCACAAGCCGTCTGCACAATCTCGTTATTATGACGCGCGCGTGAGTCGGCATTAATTAAACTCGGCGGGATCGCTTGACCCCAGATACTCTTATCTGCCAATATCTCGAGTTTGGCGACCGTGTAATCTCGCCGCTTGTTCACTCGCGGACGATCACGTCCGCATGTACCGTGTCCGTTGAGCATCTCGGTTACGCGACTTTTCTCAAATCGTTCGAGCCTCCCGATCGAAGGGCGTCGCGCCGTGTTTACGGGGCGCGAAGATATCAGGCTCTTGGACAAAGCGGCTCAGGAGCGATTCTTGAGATATGACTCGATCGATCGATCGATCGATCTTCGCCGATGGATCTGTGTAGATAAGAGGAGCCACTGCGCCTCACTGCGCGATCGGATTCCGCGTCGAGCTACTGGTTAATCGTTCAATTTGCTAATCGAGATCCCATCGGCCCCGCTATCTGCGATAATATTAGCGTCTCGAGAGTTTTTCGTGAAAGATTCCTTTCGCAGAAAACCGTTTCGAGAGCGACGATAAGACTATTTCGAGGTACTGACCAGCTCGACAGCGTTGTTAAACAGAAAACACGCGAGACCGGCCGATCTATAATTGGACAATGAGTGTACCTGCTATCGCACGACGTGCGTCGTTCTCCGCGCGATTGTTCGATAATTTAGAAATCAGGTCGAATGATTCAGAGAGATGAAAATGCGTCGCCGGACGGTGTCGCTAGCCATCCGTTAATCTCCGCGGCATTCGTTAGTTGCGACAATGGCGAACGAGTGTCCTCGTGCGATCGATCGTCTTTCGAAATCGCGGCGCTTTTATTTGCCCGATTTACAATGGCATGGCAGATGGCTGCTTCGCGACGAGGTGAGATCTAACGAGGATTCGTGTTGATAAAGTCGGATATCATAGGTACACACTAGCATATTGCGTTTTCTCTTCTAATTGCTTCCTCGATTATATGCCCGGCTTAATTAGCCGACTTCCACGTTAACAA